AATCTTCGATTATCATCCATTTTAATCGGTGAGTCTTTATCAGTTTCCTTCCACCTCCCTCTAGCTTAGTTGAATAATCAGTTTTCACCTTGATCTTCCTTGGTCGGTTCTTGTAAGGCTAACCTCTTGTGGGGATGGATAGTTCTAGATTTAGACCTTTTAGGTTGAAGATTAGGTGGTTAGAAGTTTAGATTCTCGATCGTGGTTCCTTGATATTGTTTAATCGTCATATTTCGATCTATTTTGCGCGGTTTCTCCTTGCCTCGGTAGCGATTTATGAGTGTTGTTGTTCCGCGTTTGCTGCTCTTTCTGCTTTCTCCGTTGATGGCGAGTGTTTTTCATGCTTTTGAGTCTTATGGTAGTTATAAATTCTAGAGAATTGTAATATTTCAAGTTTGTTTCCCAGTAATTTTTTCGGGCTTGTACTCCCCGTAAAACTCTCGGACTATGTGTTGTATTCTCTCATTTGTATGTTTGGATATGTAAAAAAAATCTTCCATTGAAAAAAAAAATGACATTTTTCAAAAATTCTCAAATAAATTTCAAAGTATAATATCTGGAATTTTTTGTTTTCAAATATGTTTCATCAAATGTGTCATATTGTTTTCACGGTTTAATTTTCGGGATTGTATCGATAATAAACCCCGAGTTTGGATTCTTCAATGTATTTTTTTTATAATTTTAATATTATCTTTCAGATCATAAACAAAGAAATTTCAATACGCTCTTCTTCTTTCCCTACTCTCCACTTGATGAAACATCTTGTTGGTTGAGTAATAAATTTTAATAATTTTTTTTTACATGAATGCTCTTTATTGATTACTTACTTTTAAAAATCCCAAAATCTAAACCGAAACCGATAACGGATTAAGCACCAATTCTACTGTTAAAAAAAGAAATGAAATCCGGTTTAGATATTTTGTAAAAGAAAAAAAAAAGGTTTGCTTTGTTCCTAGGAGCAACCCAGTGCTCAAGCAGCAACCACAACCGCTTCTTCTCATTTTTTTTCATTCATATCTTCAGATAC